AAATTAATAATTAAAAAAAAAAAATAAATAAAATAAATAAATCGATGATGCGAGGTCAATTAAAGCTAGATGAATATCCACGCGAATAATGTAGACCTAATAATGTTGCAAGAAAGGAACGCTTTATACTGTTTACTTAACTAAACGACGACGATAACGGCAAGAAAGTTGCCTGATGCATGACAGCTCGGATCGATGAAGCCGATAAAGCGCCAGTGGAACGAGCACTCAGCTCGTTACCCAAGACACAAATGCGCTGCTACTTATCGCCTTATCCCATAAGTAAATTTCCAACGGCGGCACTCGCACTTACCCCATGAAAGCAGCTCGCACTCTTGTCGCGTGTCGTTAGCCTCGTCCATTATTCGGTTATTCTGTACTTTCGGGATAAGTGAAACTCGAGGGAGTTATGCGAATAACTAGAACGTCCGCGTTGTCGATTCATTTCGTCCGCAGTGAATTTCTGTGGCGTTATGCGTCACAAGAATTATATATGTTTTAAAAACAAAAACTCGATAAGCTTCAAAAATAAGCTTCTCGAGAAAAATACACGTTTAACAATACGTTTAACAATATTCAAGTTTAAAAATAGCCAGACGATATTTTATGTAATGATTTTTGTTTAATTTAATTTTACATACATATTTATACTCTTTTATAATAAATTTACATTTAGCGTAAGCTTAGCTTTTTTTCACATTTTTTTTATGTAAAAAAATAATATAACATTGCTCCTTTCATTAAAAGCTCGATTTTTATTTTAAAAATTGCATAAAACTAATTTTAGCGAACAACAGTTGTTCTGTTGATAGAATTAAAACCTGGGAAGCTTAAAAAATGTCATAAATCGGACTTCCTCAAAGTGAACCATTTTTTGATTTTTCTTCCTGAGGAATATCCTTATATTTAAATATCACCGAAAATTGTTCAAGAGAGATATATAAAAATTTTGTTATATAATTTTAATTCATCGTGCAATTTTATTCTTTTCACTTTCCATTTCACTTCCGATTTTTCTTTAAACGGAAATTCAGCGCAAATTGTGACGCAAAGTGCTTTCGAGAAATTCGATTCCCATTCTCATTGAATTTCTTCGTTTCGTCAAACGACGCCTCGTGTTGGCGTTACTCGCGCGCCATGTCGGCACTCGTTCGTGAGATAAGCAGGAAAACAATTCTCGTTCCTCTCGCACACCGGATGCTCCGACGAACTTTTCCAACTACATCCTCTCCCGTTTCTCTGACGGGCCGCCGACGCGATTGCCGACTCTCAATTTCCGGTTTCGAGCACCGGCCTTCGACATGAGGCGAAGCGAGTGCGATCGCCTTTCAAGCGTCTGAGAAGCACTTAAAGCTGCGAATTGAAGCCGGTAGGAAGCGATAAGGAATAGTGATAGGCAACGGAGCTCTCTCGGGTATCGATATCTCGCATCTTCACTCGACGCTCGAGGACAGGCTTTCTCTTCGATGTACGGAAACTATGGATAGATTAAGAGTTAGTTTATACACTCGATTCAAGCGTACTCCGTTTTTTATGCCAATTATACTTTAATGAACCGATGAACAATCAACACTCGGTTTTTTCTACGCTGCCTCTCTTTTTTTCCCTCCCTCCCTTCCTCTCTCCCTCTGTCTCAAACTTGATAATTTTGAAATTAAGGATTCGAAGCAAAGATGGATTAAATCCCTAACTTACAAAGTACACTTTACAAAAACACTTTAAAGCAAACAATATTAGAAGGAATTATGGACTTAATGTATTCCTATTTTTTACATTTTTTTAAACATAAAATATACTATTACAACATTATTTGTAGACAAAGGAATAATCGATATTATCTCCTCTATTTTTTAGGATTAAAAGTTGCGGTATTTCTTATTAGCATAACATACATTTTGCCGCGAAAATTGCAATATGTCGTAAACTTGTGGCTCGATAAAACTTATTGCACGAAACTGGAAAAAACGCAATACTAGTAAACCAGTATTGCGCAATCAATCCTGGCCACTAGTATACCCATGCAATCGCATAGAAAAAAGGCGACAGAAATTACTTATGCGAATTACTTAGGGAATTTTACCTCTAAAGATCGAGATTTCGTCTCGGCTTAACGCCGCCTGCTTCCGTCGTTTAGCAATTTTTTTCGCTGCTCCCTCTCTCTTTTTCTCTCTCTCTCTTTCTCTCTCCTTCGTCTTTTTTCTACTCTGCTTGCATCTTCAGATTAAATATTCACGAGTGGAGAAATGGAGATTCTTGCGTCGCAGAGACGAAATTATTCCGGAAATTTCACTTGGTGAGCCAGTGAAGATGTTTTTGACCAAATGATAATTTAAAGGAAACCTTGTTTAAAGAAGCACATTGCATAAGAATAAGAGTAAAATAAAGAATCGATCGCAGTGTGTAGGTCACGTAGTTTTACCCGTGTATTTATCGTCGATTATCGATATTCAGCGCTAGACTCAGGATCCGGTTTTGAAAACGTCGTGATTCTTAAAAAAAATATAGGGATATAATTTCTCTATGAAATAAAACTGATGAAATAAAACTCTCTTCTTTAATTATATATCCCTTTAATTATGCATCCCGGCGGTAATCTCGACTGAAGGCAAAGAATCGTCAGATGAGGCGCTTAGGAGTAAATCCGACCCCCGGGAATAATGTATGCATTTCTTATGAGAGACTAGAGCTCATCAGGCTAATTAAGGGCTAAATTAATTCTACGCGCTGACTACGGCGCTTTTCGACGAGCAATTCGCCGCGTCTCGCGGGAGTGGAATTCGCGAGATGAAAATCGATCGACGATCGCGTCTCCGCCCACATGAGTCCACTCGCGGCGGAACGAATGTATGGAATGATTTCCGCTCGTCCCAGCTCGAAAATCCTCGCAATTAAACGTTAATTAAAGCTCACGGCTAAACGTAATTTCATAATTTTAACATTTATTACTGCGGTTTTCACTTCCGTTGACCACGTTTCCTGCACTTCGTTTAATCCCCACAGCATAAACATCTACTCATTATTTCACCATTACATGACGTGTCACCCATATGTAATCGCTCTTCAACGTGAGCATTCAACTCATTCAAAGATCTGATATCTGATTTTTTCCCTTTTTCGTTTCAAAAATATTCCGTTCGCTGTCGTCGTGATATCGAAGTCCTCGTTATTTCGAAGTTATCGCACGGCTTTCTTCGCAGTGTTCTTCGAAAGACTTCATTACGGATTTATTGATCGTCGGATCTAGTTTACACGAATTTGCATGTATAATCAGTGCCAGATTTCTTGTCGTGCTAGAAATTCGTATTTTGCACAGACAAGCGAATTCGTTCGTTCTCTGGGAGATCACATCATAAAGCGAATCTATAATTGACAAGTATTTTCATACTCGCTTCGCATATATATATATATATATATATATTATTTTTTATTTCTATTTTGTCTGACGTAATAAAATAAAAATACTAGTCGATTTTAATGCGGACGTGAATACGAAGGGATTAACGAAGAATAAAGGGAAATCACTGTCCAAATTGGAAAGAAGTGTATCAATATTTTCATTCTCGCATTGTTCTAGTCGCGGTCTAGGAAGCCTTTAATAGCCGATGCGAAATTCTTGATCTACAAAGGAGGTTTAATAACTGCGGAAGGAAGACAGACGAATATGTCAGAGAGAGGAAGAGAAAGAGAGAGGGAAAGAGGGAGAGACAGAGCAATGTTGGACGGTTTAATATGTATAACGTCCTCGAGGGAGGGAGGGGAGGGCGTTATAATCGTCGAGTATCGATCATCTCTGTGCTACATGACGTACTTCGCTTCGGGGGATTTCCCGTTTGACCAATCAGGGTCTGCTGAAGGATCATAGCCGCGTACTTGTCGTTCCTGATCGTCCTGCAACTACGCCACGTATATATGATGACTCACAGTGATGCGGAAATCAGAGTATTCCACGGATTGGAGAACGCAGGAATTTTCGACATTTGCACGGCGCGATCAAATTTGCGCTGCGCGAAATCGCTCAAAGAATCGATCGGCTGCGATATTCGAATTTCGTGCATTTATGGTATAACATGCAATCGTACTTCCGACCATTTCCGCTCTCGTTATAGACGCGGACGCGTGAATGTCATATTTCATTCCCCGTCGAAAAATTTCAAATCGTACGGTGCGTACTTCTTTTTTTCTCTCCCCCCTTTTTTTGTTGCGCGTGGCTACGGAGCACGCCGGGGAATTGCGCAAACAATATTGACAGATGAAACGTTCGTCCTGATTCTCACTCGATAACTGGCGCAGATTTATTGGCCGTGTGTGAGCGACGCGTGTATCATTTCGCCGCGGATAAAATGTTCGCCGTTAGCATGCCGCTAGCATGTCGCGCGAGAAAAAAAAAGCCGCAAATTATTGCATGACGATATTAATCATTACGCGGTCGTTTTTTACCGTGCTTTCTATCACCTATTACCCGCGCTCAGCGACGACATTTTAACGGTAGTTTCACGTCAATCTAACGATTTCTCTCGTTCGTTTGCTTTTCTTTTTCAGAAATACGTCAGCGAAGGATCGACGGTGAGGGACTGCGTGCCCCATTGCGTGGAGAAAGGTGAGTGCCATTCCTCCTCCCGCCATCGCATTGCACGGGGCACATTCTGCAATCGTAAAAGGAGGAACAACTGTTACAATCCATTTTCGCGGACCGAAAGCCGTTTCGCATGTTTTTCACACGGTATCTGCGACAGTAAATCCATGCGCTTGCTCGTAAATTCCTTGGCACCGCCCGGCATCGCCGATGGCCGGTTGGTATTTTCGCCTGGCCCCATCGACGAAATTTACAGAGGATAAAACGGCGGGTTCTAAAAAATTTGTGAAACCGCGTGTTATCGGTTGCTTCGGGCCGACGTTTGTTATCCGAAAGACGACGAAGTAACGCCAGCAACCTGGTTGCTGGACGGCGACATCCAGGACGCCGGATGAGAGAGACGATAGAAGGTCCCTTCCCCGTCCTATCCTCCTCTCCTCCTCTCCTTCGAGGCGCGTCATCGATTTCGGATTTCATCGTGTGGCGTGTGGCCCGCATCCGTGCGCTCTTTTTCTATCCGTTCTCTATCCGCCGCTCGAGAGAGGATACGAGAGGACCTATCTCCAAGAGGGTGGGATCGTGCGCGCTTAAAGATCCCACGAGCGAACCGGCGAGCGGCCGTGTTATCAGGCCACGTCGTTTTATCGTGCGGACGAAAGCCTCATACTTTTCCTTTCCTCGCTCGTCGTATTTCTCCGCCACTCGTCCTTCGACGAGCGTCTCCCTATATCTCTCCTTCGCTCTCCTCTCGGCTTTTTTGTCATATCGCGAAAACGGAAGCGCCACGATTAATCTTTGTCTTCGACGGCACGCTTCGCTGTTTTCCTGCTCCCCCTCTCTTTTTATTTGTGTTATATTAAACCTTCATAGCTAAGAAAATTCTGGCCCCATGATTTTCTTAAAGGTTATTATTCTTCGGGACGTTTATACATGATAAAAAATATGTTGTTAAAAATTTAAAAATTTTCTCTTCGATTTATGACGATTTATCATCTTCTTTTTCTATTATGATTGTAATACAAAAAAAAAAACACGAGATGTCTATTCCTAGATGGCCAGATCAAACTGTTGAATGACGAATCGACTGTTTCAGAGGCCTGGAGCACGAGGACGTACTGCTGCCAGCAGGATGGCTGCAATTCCGGCCCGTCGTTGACAGCGTCAAGCAGCACGTATTTCGTCCTAGCGATCTCGCTGGCGGTCCTCGTGGTGTGCCGAAGCCTTCGTGGCTAATACGTGTCGTCCTGCAAGATGAAGGATTCGCGCCGCGGACGTCTCACGAAACCGCATTCTTCAAAAAACTTCAAACATACAAATTTGCATTTGGGGAGGGAGGTAGGAAGGGAACGTTGCACCCTGCATCTCAAATGTCAGCGCCGAGCGATCGGGACTTCCTACGAGCGGATATCGCGGAGACGTCGATAGTCGTCCTTTGATCCTTCAATCCTTTCGTCAGAAAGCCGAATGAAACTTTATGTCGTTTATAATCGGACATATCTTCCCTCTCGCAATGATGATTGCCGCGTGCTTTTCGCTTTCTGATATGACGGTTACTGCAAACACGTTTATTCGAAATAAAGTTTATAATAAAGAAAGCGAACATCGCATGTCAACGCATAATGACGCTTGAAAAAAAGTTTTGTTGATTTTATCAGTTGCATAAGACTCCATCATAAAAATCATATTAACGCGCTTTCGTTAAACGACAGATTGAGCAATTTATTATTAATAAACGTTGGAATATAATTTCTTAAAAAAATTAACATTCATAAGGTATATCTAATTATACAATATATTTACTACTTAAATTTTCAATATTTTAAAGAGCTCGCTATACATTTATAAAATACTTTGTGTTTCTTCGATACGAGGAAACACAAAGTATTTTATAAATGTATAGCGAGCCCTTTTTTTATCAGAATTATTTAATATCGAAAGATAAATCCAGCATTGAGAGAATAATTATTTTATTTTCCAAGAATTCAATTTATCAGGTAAATCTGACGGATGAGGGGGGAGTGTTTAAAAAAATGTAAAAAGGATTTATAAATAACGTACGCGTAATTAATGTTGTATCACGATTATTCCCAGGCATTTTCACTCTGTCTGATTAACGAAATGTCATGTCTAATCGATTTGTGTCGTCGTCTTCCATTTCACGCGACGGTATCCACGTCGTACAGTCACAGCCGACTCAATTCAACGAACGCTGAATGCACTTCGGCTAAACTCGGCCGAGTTAAGTGACGCGGAGAAATCGGCTCGTTAAATCCGATGCGTTATCGCGCCAACTTCCCCCCCTCTCTTTCGTTCGCTCTATTAAATTCGCATGCTTCCGCATACTTTCGTGGATCGACTGCCCTTGATGATAAAGTTCTCCCGATTGGATGATTGAAACTTCGTTTGGCGAGTCTCGCTCTGAATTTGGACACCTGTCTATGGCGAACGAACCATAATTCACAAAAAATCATTATCAAAATCATTATCAACGAACTCGTTACAAATTTTTTCTCTCCCAATGGCAATAAAAAGTCCATGTGCAGAATTTCTAGAAAAAAAAAAAAAAAAATTAATCTCACCCACTCAAAAATACCGGAGTTTTATTTCTCGCACGCGATTTCTCGACAATGAAATAATCGGAACTATAGCGTTAACATTTAACAATTGCGCAACATGATTTAAGGATGACAAAGATTCGAAAATAGTCGCTACCATCATCATTATCGCCGTGCTTATCCGCTTTTACGGTAGCTTTTGTGCGATCCGACTTTGCAGACACGCGTTTTCGCGAGACTTTCCTCGCGCGATGCGCGTAATCAGCTTTTTTTCCCGCTGCTTTACCAGAAAACGATTTTTTTTTTTTTTACGATAGAGAAATTTTTCCGGAGTTAACAGAAAGTAATCGTCTATAATCCGTAAAATTCCGTTTTGAAAACTTGTAGGTATCTTAGACGAGAGAACAATGATCACGTTGGATTTATCTTTAAGAATCTTATGAGAGAGAGAGAGAGAGAGAGAGAGATTTTAGTAAAAAGATATACTAAGAAAGAAAATAATGTTCTTAGTATATCTTTTCTTAGTATATCTTAGTATGTTTCTTTACATTTTTCTTCGTGGAAAAATCTACCTTCTGACGATGAAGAAATCGGAACAAAAGGCAGAGGAGATACGAGACATCCTCTTTCTATATACACACACATATATATATATATATATATATATATATATATATATTCGTTCGTC